CCCGGCGGGCGCGGGCAGGGCGAGCGGGCGGGGCGGCCCCGGCGCCGACGGGGACAAGGGGAGAGAGAGGAAGGAGTGAGACTGAGGGAGCGAGGAGGGGGCTGATGCGGGTGGGGGCTGGAAGGCACCCCACTTCAAGCAGAACAGCCCCCAAGGGCATCCTCCCAAACACTTGTCTTCCCCTCAGGCGAGGCAGACCCACCTCGAGGAGGGCTGGTCACTTTTACCCCCGCCCCCATTTGGACAGGTGCTGCCTCCACAATCCTGGAGCATCATGGGCAGCAGGGACGCCTGGCGGGGACGAGTCCACCTCAGCTTTGGGACATGGGCGACTGGCACCTCCCGAGTCAGTCATGCTGATGGGGGAATTGCCAAGCATGGAACCACCGGGGCAAAACCAGACGTGCACTCCGGTTTTGCAGCTGGCACTTCCAGCGGGTGCACGGCAATCTCAGGGGGCACGTGTGCACCCCCTGCACCTCGCCAGTGCTTTGGAATCAGGGCATCCCAAAGGTGGAAACCCTCCAAAGGGAGCGGGGTTCGTGTCCAAGGTGGGCAGTTGCAGTGGCGAGGCATAGGGGGTGCACGCAGGTGCATGTGCACCCCTGAGACTGGCTTCCAGTGGTGCCTGCAGGTGGTCACCACTTGCCACCTCCACTCCCTGCCACCAACGCTGCCGGTGGTGTCGGCAGGCAGTCGGCAATTGGCGCTGACCGCCACCAATGCTACCGGCGGTGTCTGTCGGGGGGGGGTCACTGACCGCCAGTTGGTGCTTGCTAACCACCCCCCCCACCCCACTGATACTGCTGCGGCCACCTGTGGGAGCTCCCCGCTTGCTGCCACCACCACCTGTGCGTGGTCACCATGCCCCCCCAGCCTCCAGGGGCACACTCATTCATGGGCGGTTGCTGTCACTCTTGAATCACACCCTCTGGCATGTGGAGGCCTTGACTCATAGATGTTTGGGTCGGAAGGGACCACAGTAGATTCATAGAACTTAGGGTCAGAAGGGACCTAAGTAGGTCATCAAGTCTGACCCCCCGCCCTGGGCAGGAAAGAGTGCTGGGGTCAGACAACCCCAGCTAGGTGCTTGTCCAGTCTCGTCTTGAAGACCCCCAGGGTAGAGGAGAGCACTACCTGCCTTGGAAGCTTGTTCCAGATTCTGACAACCCTTAGTGTGAAGAAGTTTTTCCTAATGTCCAACCTAAATCTGCTCTCTGTTAATTTGTGGCCATTGTTCCTAGTCACTCCAGGGGGTGCCTTAGTAAATAGAGCATCTCCTATTCCCTGCTGCCCTCCCCTGATAAATTTGTAGGCAGCCACAAGATCACCTCTCAGGCTTCTCTTGCGAAGACTGAAGAGATCTAGATACCCCAGTCTCTCCTCATAGGGCCTTGCCTACAGGCCTCTGACCATACAAGTGGCCTCCTCTGAACCCTCTCAAGATTCTCCGAATCCCTCTTGAAGTGTGGCGCCCGAAACTGGACACAGTACTCCAACTGCGGCCTGACCAGTCTCACAGAGGAGAAGCATCACCTCCCTGGACCGGTTCATCATGCATCTGCTAATGCACAATAAAATGCAGTTAGCCTTGTTGATCACTTCATCACATAGATACCAAGATGTACATGGGTCATCAACAATGACTCCGAGATCCCTTTCCACTGCTGATGTGAATTGAGGTAAACTGACCCCAAGTTACCTCTCCTGGTTGTTCTTTCTGGCTTTGAGGGGAGAGCCCTGTCCTCTGAAAACACAGATGTACTTGCAAAGGAGCTAAAAGGAGCAGGCAGGGGATGGCATGACCTCTTTTAAGGCATCTGAAATCTGAATTCCCCTCATTCTCACTGTGGCTGCAAAATGCTCTTTGCTATTTAAGACTAGTGGACAGCACCCTCTGGATAACGTGATTCACAAATAGAGGCCTAGGAATGCCAAGGACATCACCACAGCAGGTGACCAAGGGATGCTTTGTTGCCCAGTACTGTGAGATGCCAGTATCCCCCAAACTTAGCCTAGTGTCATCCACAAGGTGCTGGGAGATGAAAGACTATGTGCATTTATTAGAAGTATAGTGAATAGCGCTCAGCATGGTTCTCAAAGAGCAGGTCACAGCAACTGATGCTCCATCTTGATCCAACTTGTAATATTTTGCACAGTTTGAGGGCAGAGTTTGCATTAAGACTGACAAAAATCTAGCAAAGAAAGAAGTTGTGAAAGGAAGCCTTTACTTTATGCAACTCACCAAAATTAAAAAATATTTTTGCAATTAAAAAAAAAAATCAAACTTTTTAAATTTTTAAAACAGATGCACAATCCTCACTTTCACATTTTCATTGTTCAGAAATGCAGAAAGCAAAGACCAGAAATAAGAAGACATATTGGCTGCTTAAAATTCTCTCACTTCTAAAATGTTATTAGCAGTCATAAATAATTGTGTTTGTTTACAACTTATGCTTCCGTGTCCCACAAAGGCTGACAGCAGATGCAAGCCACATTATTGAAGCCATGAGTTGTGGTTGGCGCACACAGGACACATCTACTTGTGCAGTGGGAATCAAACGCTGGTGCAATTTGAGCTGGAGTGAACTAATCCCAATGTCACCATCTACATGTGCACTTAAGCACAGTAATTTACTCCACCATCAGATAGCACCTGTGTCTGACTGAACTATCCAACAGTGCTGTAAATTAGTCTACACCCACCCAATTGCCATGCATGTGTAAACTGATGCTTTACAGCACAGTGAATTAGTCTACTGAGTAATAAAGTGTACATGTAAACATGCCCACAGTATTTTACCAAGCCTTGTACATAGAAATAACCAAAGGTGCACACAATAGTGAAAGGATGTGTACCAGCAAACTAACTGATGCTAAGGAAGGATGTTTCACTAAATTCAAAGTCACCGATTCAAATTTGAATGAAATGCTGATACACAGCAATTGTGGAAACTACATAAAACAGGAGCATTGGGGGGAATATGTCAGTTTAAGCCCAGGATATCTGCATACTGGGGACAGTACTGGCTTCTAATTTACTTTTCAATATATGAAGCTTTTTATAAAGATTGAAACTGAAATACCTTAACTAAATCATTAAATAAAATAAAAATGTGCATCTGCATAACTAAAGAGCAATTTCATTAATCTAGCATTTGAACCTCCCTCCTACTCCAAGGGAAGAGGGGTCTCCTCCCTGCTTCCTCTAGGAGCAGTGGATCTGGAAAGAGACAGATATTCCCAATTGTACTTGCAAGAAGCACAAGAAAAGACCCTGAGATTCAAATGTTACTTCTATAACATTACTCCCCAAACTCTTACAAAAGAGAGAGGAAGAATTTCCTCTTTGTTTTAATTCATTTTAGGTGTTTTTTCCCTGGTATAGTACAGACCAGTACTTTAAAAACTCAGCGAACAAGACTAAGTGTTTGCAATTGAGACCTGTCTGAATTTTTCAAACTAAATGTATGTAAAATCATGCATAACCACACAAAGGGAAGCAAATATATTGGAAACAAAATTCTGCTGCCTGAAGCCCTGATTTCTACAATAAATAAATATGGAAAATGTTTTATAAATTAAACTAAGAAATTAAAATCTTTAATTAAAGCAAAATTAAATCTCAAAAATATATGTACCAATAATAATCAGTTAGTACAAAATTATCTGTTGAAATTTTCTTAGTCTCTCTCATTTTTTTTTTTTAGTGTTTCCCAAATCATTTCCCACTGTTTCAGAAATGCCAATTTACTGTACAATTTAGGCACATCAACTACACATAATACATGGCTCCAACCATCATTATTTCCCTCAGCCACCTAGTTCCTGGCACTAACAGGCCAATTTTTAATGTCACTTACAGAAGTGCAACCACATTGACTTCAACAGAGTTGCATAAACCCATTATTTTTAATACCAATACTCCAGGAAAAGCTTTGATGGATAGTTT